TGGCTCAGGTTGTGATCCCGGGGTCCTGGGATCAAGTCCCGCATCAGGCTCCCTCCAGGGAGCCTGCTTCTCCCTCTGCCAGCGTCTCTGCCTCTCTCTATGTGTCTCTCATGAATAAATAAATAAAATCTTAAAAAAAAAAAGAGCATCTATGGAACACAGTGGAGTCTGGGGAGCAGAAATTGTGTAAGGATGTGGGAATCAGACACAGTCCTTGCCCTTCAGCCTGGGGCCCCACCAGTCAGTGACATCATAAGGACGGCAGTGTGGCCCTGGCTGCCACGCTCCAGGCCCACGATCAGCACACTGGCCTTCTCACGGACTCACACCCACAACGCACCTGACAATGAGCCCATTTCACAGATTCACACCGGAGCCCTGGTGTGACACGCTCTGCTCAATATATGGATAAAATCCCCCTTTTGATGAAAACCCGTATCAGTGGTAAATCTAAAAGGTATAAACGGCTCTACAGTGGAAAGTGAGCATCCTCGCCCCTCGTCTGGGCCATCAGCTCCCCTCCCCCAGAAGAAGCCATGGCTTTAGGAAATCTGAATCTGTGGCCAACTCTTAAAAAGTCATGTTTCGCATAAAAATCCAGATTTCACGTAAGAAGAGTAACTGGAAGATGTGGCAAGAGTGGGTGGACAGTTCCGCACCGCAATGGCACTGTGCTACCCCTGCACAAGGGCCACTGCTCCCCCGTGCCTGTGAGCTAGTCTGGGGCATTGTTTCCACCCCTGCTGGGCCCCTGGAGGCAGACAGGGAGCAATCCATAGGGATGCTTGGCTCCTGTCTTCATGCTCCCAGAGGAGTTAATAATTCTTTATTGATAATAAATAAATAATTAATAATGATTAATTAATATTGATTAATTAATAACAACTCCTCTTTTGTGGGGTGCCTGGGTGGCTCCATCAGTTAGGTGTCGAGCTTGGTTTTGACTTGGATCATGATCTCATGGGTCGTGGGATCCAGCCCCACGTTGGGGTCTGTGCTCCGGGAGGAGTCTACTTGGGACTCTTTGCCCCTCCCCCACTCCCTCTCTCAAATAAATAAATAAATCTTAAAAAAAAGAGAGAGACAGACAGACAGACAGAATGGCTTTTTTGAGCTTGGCGCTGGAGTCGCCAACGGTGCTCACGTGAGTCAGCCAATGAACACCCACAGGGTACCTCTCCACTTCTCTGAGCACCAAATGTGGAGTCCCGTTTGTTAATGGACAGGTTGCCTCTGCTAGAATGTTCCATGAGGGCGGGACTCTGTTTATTCACCACTGGGTCCCCACAACCTGACGCTGCTTATACCATTAGAAGTTCCCAGGCAGATCCCTGGGTGGCGCAGCGGTTTGGCGCCTGCCTTTGGCCCAGGGTGCGATCCTGGAGAACCCGGGATCGAGTCCCACGTCGGGCTCCCAGTGCATGGAGCCTGCTTCTCCCTCTGCCTGTGTCTCTGCCTCTCTCTCTCTCTCTCTGTGTGTGTGCCTATCATAAATAAAAAAAAAAAAAAAAGAAGTTCCCAGGCATTCGTAGGTGGACAGGACAGGGACAGGTCACTGTCCTCAACTGCTCTCAGGCTGGGGAACAGAAACAAGTCTGTGGGATGCAGCTGGTTGGACTGGTAAAGGAAGCTTATGCTGATGCTCGGAATGCTGGGGACGGAGACCATCGTGTGGGAGGGGGAACCAGACACAGGGGCTGGTGAGGGGGACATCGAGCTCTGTGTCAGAGCTCAGCTCACGTGTCCCCATCCTGTCCCAGCTCCCCCGGGTCCCGCGACGGCACAGGAAAGAATACACCCGCCTCTGCCAGCACTCAGGAAGATTCCTGGCAGCTGGCGTGGGCAGCAGGGAACACAACCCGGGGCAAATCCCCACAACCTGGGAGGAGCCCCCACCCTGGTTCCCCCGGGGCCACCTCTCCCCGTGCCCTGCCCTGCCACCCCCACCCCTGGTGTTCGTTCAGTGTCTCCTCTGCTCCCCAGTTACTGAGCTTTGCTGTGCAACAGCCACCATCCTACAGACATAGGTCCCCAGTGGGAGACCCAATAAAAGGATGGACTCATTCTCTCACTCATTCATTCATACATTCATTCGGCCCCTTCTATATGTCAGACCCCGTTCTGGGCCCCAGGATATGGCAATAGTGTAAAACAGACAAAAACACCTGCTCTCATAGAGGCCTCGCTCTAATGGGTATGTAGTGAGCGTGCAGGGAATGGATGATAAACTCAAAAATTAAGTCATCTCCGAGCTGACGGTCGGTGCTAGAAAGATAGGGCCAGAAAGGGGGAATGTGGGGTCATCAGAGAAGGTGGGTGCCATGCACAGCCTGGGGCGAGAGGCGCCAGTGTCTCTCCCTCCACGCACGGGACAGATTCATCTGCCTCCAGTATGGCAGGACGTCCTTCCAGGACGCAGGTGTCAGGTTTGCTTGTAGCCACTGTGGAAGCTGGGGTTCCCTGAGCTCAGGGCTCCTTGGCTGTGGTGCACAGCATCCACTTGGCTCCACCTCCCTGCTGCTCACGGGGGGCTTGGGTGACAAGAGCAACCAGCCAACCCGATGCTTATGCACTTGTTGTGCCATGAGTGATCACGTCCTTCGTCCTGGACGCTAGTCTTTATGTTTCCTGCCGGCTAACCGGATAGCTACAAGGAGGGTAAAGTCGTGGACGCCTCACAATTCCCCACGTAGGGGCAATGTCAGAGACAAAGAATGAGTGAGCGGGTTGGGCTTCGGAGGGTACTATTCCTTAAATAAAGAACACCGGCAATAAACTGTCCTCAGGGCAGGTGCAGAAACACCAGTGGGTCACTGCTTTGGGGTGACACACCCCTCAGGACCAACCACAGACCCACAGAGGCGGCTGTAGGGAGGGAACGCAGCCGGAGGAAGCCAACGGGAGCCTGTTCCCGGCTGCTGCCACCCATGCCTGGTGCAGAACAAGGTGCGGGAGACTTCTAGCTACAGGAAGGACTCAAGGAAGTGGGGTGCAGAGGAGGATCTGGGGTGGCCTGGCTCAGGGCCAGTGTTCCAGCAATGAAGACTCCAGCTTCTGATGATCCCCTGTCCACGCCGGCACCCGACCCCCCACCCCACTGGCAGCTCCTAGGCCTGGCTGCTTGCACAGAACCCCCCATGCACCCTCCCTGCGGCCATCCCCCCAGGCCTACGGCCCCGGAATGAAGACACAGTTTCCCAGGGTGGTAGCTCTGCTGCCCACCTGTCCTCCACCCCCAACTCTGGTGTGGGAAAGGGGACCTCCCCGCCACTGGCCCACTTCCTTCTCCGGCCACCACTGCTGCCTCAAAATGCCTTGCGTTTGCGGGGGGCACATGCTAATTCCAGTACTCTGACCTTTTGCTCCATGGAGAGAAAGTCATACTTGCCCAACAACACACCCAGTTCTTTGGCTCAGAGTGCGTGATCAGGGGCCTCATGGTAGAAATGCAGAGCTCTCAGGCCTCAGCCCTCAGCCCATGAGGCCCACCTGGGCTTTCCAGATTCCCGAGGCCCCAGGGCACGGGGGACTCTGTGCCCAGCTTCCCCTCCAGTGTCTGCTCCTGGCTGGGAGGAAACACCTGTATGTGAGGGAGCCAGTCTGGGGTGGGGGGGACGGAGACCATTGTTCTGGGCAGGAGGGGATGGTGGTGGGGCGGTGGGCAGGGAGTCTGGGAGGAATCTCACGGGGTGTACATGCAGACCAGGAAGCCCCTGGGGACCAGATTCACAGCCACCACATCAACCGAGGAGCAGGACACCCCCTCACCCCGACCCCGGGGTGGGGTGCTCTGTGGCTGGGCTGGTGGCATTTGGTGCTGGATAGCCTGGGTCCTAATGTGGACATCTTGAGCTGGTTGCTTAGAACCTTTGTGCCTCAGTTTCTCTACTTTAAAGGAGAGCTCATGATAGCACCTACCCCAGAGGATTCCTGCCAGGACGAAATGAGACGATGCTCATGAGGAAGGGAAGGTGCAGAGCAGGCTTGTGCCAGCAAGCCCTCCCTGAGCTCCATGCTTCCCCAGCCACACGGAGTGGCCAGCTGGCTTTTTCCATGATCCCCTCCTTTTCACCCAGTCCTGTGGGTTTGCACACCTTGCTCCTCACTGGGACGCCTGCTGGGTTCCCTGTGCACACAGACCCTCCCTGCCCCTCAAGGTTCAAGTGCCACCTCCTGCAAAGCCTCCCCACTCACCACCTGGATCCCAGGCCCAGGGGCACCTGCATACCCGCCCCCCTTCCCCGAGAGCACTCACGCCCTTCACTTTCTGTTGGTCACTCATGCTGCATCTCAGTGCCACCCCAGCTGGCCAGCTTCTCCGCCACGGACACCAGGCCTTCCTCGGCCTCTGGCACCGGCTGCACAGGTAGACGATGCTCGATTGTGTGTGTGTGTGTGTGTGCGGGCAGGGGGGTGGTGGTGGTGGTGGTGGAGAGAAGCGGCCAGACCAGCATGATCATCCCCTAACTGTCCCCGGGAGAGGGATGGACAATGTCCCAGAAGGGGTGCGGAGGGGACCAGAAGACTGACGGTGTCCAGTGCCTTGCTCCCCTGCCCTGCGAGCCTTGGCAACTCACCGCATCTCTCGGCTCAAAAATGGGCATGAAAACGTGTATCCAGCCCCCTCAGATTGCTCGGGAGCACCCACTGGACAACGGAGTGTCCTCTGTTGCGCCCGGTGGATGTCATCGGTTATATCATTATTGGTACTTAGAGGATTTGGGGAAGAAAGAAGGGGTCCATCCTTTCACAGGTCCTGGGTCCCTTCTTCTTGTGAAAATGAGTTAAATGATCTTAACTTGGCACAGGGGTTCCAGGAACCACGTCATCTCAGTACCCCTTCTCAGAAAGCCTGGGCCTTGTATACCTAAGAGCCAGGGGCGCTCTGGCCCCTCGAGGGCTCCCTGCCAGCATCCCTCCTCCTGGTGCCCTCATCTGCTCTGCTTGGGTCTGCCTCTCCTGGCTTCCTCCCTGGACACCTTACCCCAGCCAGCACCTACCTTGATTTGGGGGGAACTGGGTCCCCTAAGTCTGCCAGTTGGCTCCCCACGGCCCTGACCAGGGAGGCTGCCCACAGGAGAACCTGATGTCTTGGAGGAGCCCCAGTGAGCGTCTTTAGTCTCCACTGGAGCCTACAGATTTGCAGAGAAAGGCCCAGTGTCGCACAGGCCCGACTCTGTCCCCTCCTCTTCCTTCCCCTTCCCCGTGGCCTTCAAAGCTCCTCCCAGAACACATCCTGCAGTGAGGCTGCTTTCTGCAGAAGCTCTGCAGTCACCCGCTGGCACTGGAGGTTCTTTATTTTGAGGAGGCACCTCCATAGAGTCCCTCCCTGGTGCTGATGGGGCCTCGACCTTTCTCCTGAACTCCAGACATACCAACCACTGTCTATGCCTGGACATTGGACAGCCAGGGGTCATCCAACATTTCCAGCTCAACGTGTGCAGACCAAGCTCTCTTCCCACTGTCCCCCCTTGAATCCACCTCTCTGCTCCTCATCTCAGAAGCAGACACTTGAGTGCCATTTTAGCACCTCTCTCTCCCTCACCTGTTCCATCTAAATGGAACCAAGTCCTAGGTCATAAATCATCTCCTTTCTCTAACCCCATGGCTGTCACCCCCTCATTGGGCCACCATTGTCCTCCTCCTGAATGACCATAGAAGCCTGATCTTGCCTCCACCTCCCAACCAAAGGCCCCTCTCTGGTCCTGAAACACAAATCTGATCACATTGTGCCCCAGAACAGCCTTCAGTGGCTCCCTGCTACCATCAGGGTAACAGCCAGACTCCTCAGTGTGACTTGCAAGGACCGTCTCCACCTGGTGGTTCCTGATCCCCAAGACCAGGTTTCATCCTATCAGTGGACCCTTCCCAGGGGTCCTGGACACCTGCAGCTCTGTAGTGATCCAGGCAGCCCCTGAGCTCCAGGCCCACGCATGTGCAATGGGGTCCCCTTCAGTCCTCCCCGGGGTTCTAGCAGAGAAGAGAGAAAACAGAAGTCAGAGAGGCAGAAAGAAAGCAGAGTGCCGTGAAAACTGGAGGAGGAGTAAGTGTCAAGGACATGGGGGTCAGTGGTGTCGAAGACTGCAGAGAGGACACAGATGAGGAGCATGACAAAAGCATCTGCTGACCTCAGTAATTAGGAAAGAGCAGTGCCAGGGAGCAGATCACCCTCAAGGTATGGACCTGTTGGCTAGCTCCTCACATTTTTTTCTTTTTCTCATACTTTGAAGCCACGCAATATTTCTGGAAATCTTCAACACACGTCTAGACCTTTGAAAAGCTCACAGATACTGTGTTCTCAACTGATTTGGCCTAGTGGTAAATGGCTCTGGAGAGAGACAAATCATTGACAGCACCATTTGAGCAGCTGGATGCAGCCATGCCTGAAACCCTGATGCCTGGATCTACTCCTAATTGTTTGACTACATGATTCAATGAATTCTCTCTCCCACCTTTTTTCAATAAGACTGTTTGAGTTGGATTTCTGCCACTTGGGTTTCTCCTTTGCACCAAAGAAATGACTGATCTTCTTTCTCCTGGGATTTGGGTGGGTTCTGCTCCATCATTCTCATGTTGCAGAAGAGGATACTTAAAAGAAGAAGAAGGAAGAGAAGGGGGGGGGGGAGGAAGGGGAGGAGGAGGGAAAGGAGGAGGAGGAGGAGAAGGTGAAGAGTCCAGAAATTTAGATCATTTGCTCCATGGCTCAGTCTCCCTGCCACGTGTACTTCTTCTCCACACTGCTTCATGTGACCGGAATCATATTCTACCTCGTATCTTTGTATTTGGGTTCTTAGGTCATGTGTCTGCCTCATCCATCCACCTTCCCCCAGTAAGTCCTGGGGAGGCAGAGGCTAGGTCTATCAATCACAGGATAAGAGAATGTTTGGCTCATTAAGTATAACAAATGGATGGATGGATGGATGGATGGATGGATGGATGGATGGATGGCTGAGTGGATGGATGGCTGAGTGGATGGATGGCTGAGTGGCTGGGTGGGTGGGTGGATAGTTGGGTGGGTGGGTGTGTGTGTGGCTGGCTGGCTGGCTGGCTGGGTGGATGGTTGAGTGAATGGGTAGATGGGTGGATGGGTGGATGGCTGGCTGGTTGACTAGCCAAATGGCTGGCTGGTTGAGGGAAATGAGCAAGTCCAGGACAGGCTAAGGACCAGGGACTCTGCCCCTGCAGGTTCAGCGCTCAGCAGCAGCCAGGCAGTGTGGCCATAGTGGGCAGCTCCCTCTCCTTATCAGCTTTGGCCCAACTGAATCGGAAATCACAAGCTGACATGGGCCTCCTGTGGTCTCCTGTGGCCTCCTGTGGCTGCACTCTCCTCTTTCAACAGCTACTGTCTTGACTGCTGCACTGGGTGTGGTAGCCACAAGCTGCCTGGTGACCATGGACGGCCCCAGAACTGTCCCCTGCAAGCAGCAGCTGTGTGATAGGCAGCCAGGAACAAGAAGGAGTGAAGAGGAGGTGGAGAGGAAGGACAGAGTGCCCCTATCTGTCCCTTGTACCATCTGGCCTCACCCAGGGTGGGTGGCACTGCCCATTTGATTGATCCCAGTGATGCCTTGCCTCTCCAGATGCTCTCCTTAGGGTTGAATCTGTTTTTCAGTTGCACCGTGGCTAGATTTCCCATCTGCATTGTAGGAAGAGCCCCTCCAGTCCCTTCTGTTATTCAGAGAGATACTTCGTATTATTTTCAGTCCATTACTAAGCAGCCAAAAACTTTAAATAAATTAAATTTTTAACTTTTATTAAATATATTACATTAAATCCTCTTGATCCTGTGGTGGCAGGTCGACCGGTGCTCCCTGGAGGACCAGGGTATTGGAGTCAGACAAGACTGTATGCTTTGGATACAAGACACCCAGGGTCACCTTGTGTCCTCGCTCCATCTACCTTCTGTGGGAGTTGTCTTGGGAAACTCCAGCAGCAAATGGCAGAATTCATCAGCTCTTGTTTTTTTTTTTTTTTTTTTTTTTTCAGGAATTCACCCACAGAAAATCCTGATAAGCAATTGTAGATCTCACTGGAGATTACAGAGGGAAGACAGCAAAGGTGTATACACATCTCTTAGCAAATGATTCAAAAATCCTCCGTGGGAAAGACAAATATCATTGGATTTCACTCTCTTATGTGGAAGTTAAGAAACAAAACAGAGGGACAAGGGGGAAGAGAAAGAAAAATAAAATAAGATGACAGTAGAGAGGGAGACAAACCATAAGAGACTATAAAACTCCAGGAAACAAAGGGTTGCTGGAGGGGAGAGGGGTGGGGGATGGGGTAACTGGGGGATGGGCATTGAAGGAGGGCACGTGATGTGAGGAGCACTGGGCATCTTGTGCAACTGATGAATCATTAAACTCAACCTCTGAAACTAATTAATACACTTTATGCTCATTAAATTGAATTTAAACTAAAAATAAAAATCCTCCGTGGACATTTCTGTTGTCCAGATGTTCTTCATCCATGCCATGCTGTAGCACTGATGTGCTGGGGCAGGATGGGCGGGGGGGGGGGGTCTTCTTTCTCTTCTCTCCCCCAGTAACTCCGAATCACACCCTCCTGGTGCCTCCTGCCCAGACTTCTTCAAAAAAAACAAAGCCAAGTCCTCTTAGAAGAGCATTCAGAGCACTTCACCTCCATTCTGAACCCTGAGTCCAGTTGTACACCCGAAGCTCACCAACAACACCCAAAACCAGATGGCTCTCTGGTTGGTGAGAAAGCTGCGAGAGGTAAACAGACCAGAAGACAGGTGTTACAGAAACACATCTTGTTGCATGTGAATGACCAACTCATGGGCCAGGATACTTGTGGAGGTGGCTCACTTGAGTGGTGGGGTGGCACCCGAACCAGAGAACACCTGGTCTAGGGGCTCCTCTTGGCTCCCCAGGGAGGACCTGAGGACCCAGTCAGCCAGAAACCTGGCCCACACTCCTCGACTCCCATCCCCACTCCAGGAAGACTCAGGTACCCACCTGACACACGCCTCTGCTTCTAGTGAATTCCATCCAGCCCTCAGAGCCACGGCCCTTGTTCCCTGGGTAACATCATGCTCTAGGGTAGAGGTCCACCAGGTGGGGGCCCTGAATCATCAGCATCGGTATCGCCTGGGAACTTGTTAGCAGCTAGTAGTAGTGTCTGCTGTGGGTGTGGACAGTGAGGAAGAATACATGGGTCAGGATATTTCCATCCTTAATCTCTGGCCATGCTGTCCTACAGGGTGTGCGTGCATGCAGAGCTCGGACTAGTGGGGGGATAGTTTTAGGAAGCAGATTTGTCCTCTACGCCCACCCACTCATTCTTTCTGCGAGTCCTCTTATTTTTGAGGAAAAAAGGGAGTTTTGGTTTTAATATCATGGGTTTTTTTTTTTAATTTTAGTGTTATAAAAATGACCGAAGAAATTCACAAATACATTTTTTTAAAGATTTTATTCATTTATTCATGAGACAGAGAGAGAGAGGCACAGACACAGGCAGAGGGAGAAGCAGGCTCCATGCAGGGAGCCCAACGTGGGACTCGATCCCAGGCCTCCAGGATCAGGCCCTGGGCTGAAGGCAGCGCTGAGCCACCCGGGCTGCCCACAAACACGTTTTCATTACAAAAAGCCAGTCTCACATCACAGGAGCATACAGAACGGAAAAGAGCTCCCATCCCCCACTCCTCCTTCCCAGTATCTTTTTCCTCTCCACCCAGTGATAACCATCGCTGTTGCTGGTCTGGGGTGATTATACCAACTGACCTTCCCCTTGCTTTGTTTACTTGGAGATCATGCTCAATCAGGACCTAAGGATCAATTTCTTAAGTGGAAAGTCTTGATTTTCTCGCCTCGGTGCCATGCTGACGTGGATCAAGGTCCGGAGAAAACCGGCCCACTCCCTCTCGTTACAAGCTGGCCTTCAAGTCTGGAAAGAAAATTTCTCTCCCCAGGATTCTCTTTGCAGGTACAACTGTTGCCCCTCCCAGGCTCCTCTGCGGGTGGTGGGGGAGGGCAGAGAGAGCCCTGGGGGCAGGGCCTGGTCTCCAAAGCCCCCCCTGTTCTCAGGCCAGGGGAGGGGGCTGGAGGAGGCAAGCTGGGGAGCCGGTCTGTGTGCTCCCCCTGGAACATGGAGGGGCCTGGAGCCTCTTGTCTAGAAGAGGTCTATCACAGTCACTGTGTGTTCTCGCAAATACATTCCCACCAGGAATAGGGACTGGCTGGCCAGGCGAGAAGGCTGGGAGGTCAAGAAGGCTGGGGTTGACTAGGGCCTTTGCACAGGTCCCCTCCTCTTGTCTGGGTCTTGGTTTCCTCCTCTGTCACTCAGGGCTTGGAGCACCTGGTTCTGGTTTTGGCCTCAAGACCTGAGCCTGGTTTTGCATAGAGGCCTCTGTTCTAGGAGTGGGGATCCACTACTCCGTTCCCTCCCTCCCCTGCCACTTTCCCCTCTTCAGAGGTCTCCAGGGACCCCCTCAGGCCAGCTCCTGGGCTGGCCATTCATAGAGCGCCTCCTTCATGGCTGCTGTGGAAGGCACAGGCTTGCCTGGAGCCCTGCCAACCCATCCAGACCTCAGCTTCCCCGTCTGCTCCTCCACCCCCATCCCTGGGGGATGTGCCAAGACATCAGCTTCCATTTTAAAGCTGGCAGAGCTCCTCCAGGATTCCATGGCCATGAAGCCTACCCTCCCGGAGAGCTGTGCAAACTCTGCTTTGCTGAGCTTCAATTTCTGATGTGCGTGGCTCGAGGGAGCAGCAGAGCTCAGTGGTTAAGAGCAGGGACTCTGGGACCGGCTTCTCCTTTCTGCTGTCTCTGTGACCTTGGGCAAGTTCCTTAGCTTCTCGGCCTGTTTCTGTTGGGAGGCATAAGCCTGATGACAGCAAGTATATAGAGCACATGGGCAGCACTTGGCAGGTGTACAGTCGGTGCTATCAGGTGTTGGCTAAACTCTCGTTTTGTCCTAGTTTGACGTTCAGAGGAGATTTCCTGATCAGGCTGCAACGACTAGGAGCCTCAGCCTTCCAGCCCTAGATTTCTGAGATCTCCCTGACTGGGCACTGTTTCCTCTCATTCACCCCGTGTGGAGAGGCACATGCGCCCGGGGTGGCCATGCCGCTTTTCCCGGGACGACACACTCAGAGTTGCTGGGGTGTTATGGACCGAGTGTCTGAGTCCAGCCTAAATTCATATGTTGACCCCCCCCCCCACCGCAAGGTGATGGTAATTCAGAGGTTGGCACTTCGGGAAGGCGACTCGGCTTAGATGACGTCATGAGGGTGGAGCCCCCAGTGTCCTAAGAAGAGGAAGAGATGCACCACGTGAAGCCCCAGTGAGAAGGTGGCCATCTGCAAACCAGGAAGTGGGATGTCACCAGACACAGAATCTGCCGGCCCCGTGATCCTGGGTGTGCCAGCCTCCAGATCGTGAGGAATAAATGTCAGTGGTTTAAGCTGTCCACTCTATGGCATTTGTTATGGCAGCCTGAGCAGACCAAGACACGGGGACTGTGGTCTGAGCTGGGACACAGGTGCACCTGCTACAAGGAACAGAGAGAAATAAAGTGGCACAGGTAAGGGCAGTCTGCCACCTGCCTGCTTGTTCCCCCAGAGGGATGAGGAGGACAGCGTCTTCCAGGATGGCCGGCTTCTTTTACCCTGGTTGGACTGGTAGGGTTGGGGAAATAGAGGGATTCAGAGATGGTAAAGGAGGGAGAAGGCCCCACCCACAATCCCTAGAGCCATAGTGTTGAATCCCAGTGCTGGAGGAGGCAGGGGGTAGGAGACAGAGGGGGAGGGGAATCTGAAGCCTTGGGCAGCTACCAGGCAGGTGGGTCCACACACGTCTCTGTGGAGGGGCTGGAAACATTTCAGCTTTGAGCAGACTGAAGGGGATGTAGGTGTTCCCTGCCCCAAGGGTTGTGGGAGAGCTGGTCCCCTGGAGTCAGGCCTTGGATGTCAGGCGGCTGAGGGAAAGGTCTGAGGATGATGACCAACCAGTGAGTTCAGGACCCCAGAGGAAATGCCAAGCTGTTAGAAGAGAACTAATTGATAAATTGGGCATCATTAAAAGTGAGACCATTTGGTCTGAGAAAGGCATCACCGTTAAGAGAATGAAAAGACGAGCCACAGATTGGGAGAAAATATTTGTCAGACACGTATCTGACAGAAGACTGGCATCCAGAACATACAAAGAACTCTTAAAACTCAATAATAAGAAGACAAACAATCCAAATTAAAAAAAGAGTGGGCAAAAGATCTGAAGAGACACCTCATCAAAGAAGATAATCACATGACAAACCCATGAAGAGATGCTAAACACCACAGTCACGAGGAAATTGCAAATTAAAACAGCAATAAGACATCATCACTACACACTCATTAGAATGGATAAAATCCCAAACCATGACACCACCAAAAGCTGATGAGGATGTGAAGCCACAAGGATTCTCATTCATTTGATGAGAATGAAAAAGTACACAACCACTTCGGAAGAGCTTGGCTTTTTTTTTTTTTTTAACTAAATATCCTTATACCATATGATGGGACAATTGTGCTCCTTGGTATTTACTCAAACAAGCTGAAAACATATGTCCACACAAAAACCAGCACATGAATGTTTAGACCAGCTTTATTCGTAATTTCCAGAAACTGGTGTCAACGAAGATGTCCTCAGTCGGTGAGCAAAGAAGCAATCGGGGCACACCAATAAATTAGAATATTATTTAGCAACAAAAGGAAATTAGCTGTGGAGCCCTGAAAACGAAACATAAATACATATTGCTAAGTGGATGAGCCAATCTGAAAAGGCTAGTTACTGTATGGTTCCAACTCTATGATATCCTAAAATATGCATAATTATGGAGGCAGCAAAAAGAACCACTGGCTGTCTGTCTAGTTAAGAAAAGAATAGTCTCCAGGTTGAATATATATTTGCTTATCCAGGAAATCCATTTCCTTCACAAATTGTGTTTCTCAGAAACTTCTCCAACTTATCCAAATTGCCAAATTTATTGGTGAATTTACAATTATCCTTTCATTGTATTTTTAGCGTATGTAGGATCTGTAGAGATGTCCTTTTTTCCAAGCATGATATTGATAATCTGTTCACTAGGGCCTTATCCACTAGTACATTGGTTTTCTAGTTCATAGATTTCTGCTCTTACACTTTTTTCTTCCCTTCTTTAGGATTTAGGCCTTTCTTCTATATTTTTGAGATGAATATACTCCCTTCGATGTCAATCATTTGAAATTTGATATTCCAGTTGTACTTGAGACAATGTGAATCCTGCGGCTGGGCAGTGTTCTATTTCAATGAGATCAAATGCATTAACTGTTGTCAAGATCCTCTATATCTCTATTATTTTTTTGTCTATTTGTCTCTCAGCTACTGAGACAGGTGTAATAAAGTCCTTCATTATGGTTATGGAGACATTAAATCTATCAATTTTTGCTCTGTAGTTTAAAGTTATGTTATTGCATGCATACAGGTTTATGATTGTGATAGGTTTATGTTGGATTGACTCTTTGATCTTTATAAAATGTCCTTTTATTTTTTAAATAAATTTATTTTTTATTGGTGTTCAATTTGCCAACATATAGAATAATACCCAGTGCTCATCCCATCAAGTGCCCCCTTCAGTGCCCGTCACCCAGGCACCCCCACCCCCCGCCCTCCTCCCCTTCCACTACCCCTAGTTCGTTTCCCAGAGTTAGGAGTCTCTCATGTTCTGTCTCCCTTTCTGATATTTCCCACTCATTTTTTCTCCCTTCCCCTTCATTCCCTTTCACTATAAAATGTCCTTTTAAAAAAATGCTTGTTGCCCTAAAATCTTTATCTGATACTAGTGTAATAACAACAGCTTTTTGGGCCAGGTTTGTTACTCTTTGGGTCAGGGTGTTACTCTTTTGATCCTTTTGTTTTCAGACTTTGTGTTCTTATAGCAAAGGTATGTCTCTTGTGAGCAGCATATTTAAAAAAATCATTGGACAATTCTAGATTGAATTTTTTCCAGCACGTTAAAGATGTCATTTCATTGTTTTCTGGCTTCCAATGTTTCTTTCTTTTTTGGCTTCCAATGTTTCTGTTGAGAAGGGAGCTCTCAATTTAATTGTTGATCCTTGGAAGATAAAGTATATGTTTCTTTTGGCTGTCTTTAGGATTTTCTAATTACCTTTTTCTCCCCCAGGAGTCTTACAATGAGAGTTTCTCAGTCCTTCCTTGTTTTTCATGACACTGATTTTCTGGTGGAGTACTAGTCAGGTTATCCTGTAGAATGTCCCACAGTCTGGGTTTGTCTAGTATCTTCCTCATGATCAGACTGGGGCTATGGGATTTGGGGAAGAAGAGCAGAAGTGAAGTCCTCTTCTCATGTGATTTTGTTTTTATCCTGTGTGAGATTTACTAAGTTTATTGAATCTATGGATTGATATGCTGCATCCATTTGGGCCAATGGATTTTAGGCAGAGGAGATACCGTGCCAGTTCCAGGCCCAGGCCCTGGGAGGCATCCCACGTCTCTGCTTACCCCTCTTGTGCTAGCATGCTGACCCAAGGTGCCTGTGAGACCCCCAGGGTAGACCTGAGCCCAACCTGAAGCTTGGAGCCAAGCTGCTCTGGGCCCCACCTGGATAGAGTGATCCCGGGATGTCCTGTAGGTGCATGAGCAAGAGTAAGGGACCACAGTTTCCATCCCCCGGGTGTTAGGCATGTTTTAGTCACTAGCTGGTGATAAGCTAGAGCATCTCATGGTTCCCCCCCTCCTCTATCCCTGGGAGTTAGGCTGGCAGCCCAATGCTGACCTGCTCCTCCCAAGTCACAGGTGTGTTCCAACATCCTTTCTACCTTTACCTGCTCTTCTCCCTGTGAGCGAAGTCTAAGAACATCCCCACATCCAGAGCGCCAGCAATGAGCTCGCTTCCCTTCCTCTCAGCAACATGAGACTTGTGTGGAACAGCATCAGAGAACATTCTAGCACAAATAAATTTTCTATAGAGGGGAAAATCACAAAGAGATAAACAGAACAGTCCCCCAAGAACCTGTTTGCTGCTGCGTGGGAAGCGGTTTATGGGAACTTAAGCAACTAGCAGTTAATTGTCAGATAGCAAAATAACCGTAGGTCAAGAGATACAAGACTAATCAAGTTTTATTTCAAAATAATATTAAATTTTGTTTGTTTATTCTTGGATATCTTGTTTATCATGTAGTAGCACGACCTTCTCACGCAACAAGAAAACCATGGAATGTATCTGGCAGACCGCTCCTCTCTGGAGTCTGGAGCAAGTGCAGATGGCAAGGACCGGGGAGGAACAGCGACACAGGGTAGGAGCTGGCTCCGTTTGCTCCTCTCCAGTAGTGAGTACTCTGGGTTGGGGTTTCAGGGGCTCCTGCAAGCACAGAACCTTTGGAGCCAAGTGAAGCAGGAGGAGTGGAAGGAGGGGCTCTGGGCCGGTTAAGTCATCTTTTTCCATGGCTTCTTTCTCCACCTGTACCGACTGCCCACATCCTGGTCCTCAGCCCTGCCCTCCCCGATATTACCCTATCCCTCATTTGCTTCCAGCTCCCCAACCACTCCAACCTGGCAGCTTTACATTTTTGGCTCTCACATCCTGTCACCCATGTCTCCCAGCCAGGCATGAAGCCCTGGAGGCCGTGTTCTCAACCCACCCCTCTGGGATCTCACCCAGGCACGAGAATGGGTGCCAATGGACTTGTGGGCTGGGAGATTCCATATGCAATGTGCACCAACGTCAGGTGTGACGGGGCCCAACCTGGGTTGAGAAGTCGGTGAGGGCTGGGGGCACTTGTGCCAACCCCCCTCTTACCCTCGCCAAGGCCATTCCTCCTCCAAAGAGTAAAACTGACCACTCCTTGCCCCTCTTAGTCTTGGTCCTGCCTCAAGGGTGAATAAAGAGCATCGGAGAGATGGTGAGAGTATCCCAGCGCCAGGCAGGGGGAGTCGGCGCAGAAGGGCAAGGCCACTGATCTGTACCGAGGGAGCTCCAGCTACCAGCCAGCCACTGGGCCAGGTGCTTTGGAGACAATTTCAACCCCTCAAGGTCTTAGCACTGAGGAAGTAGAGGCTCAGAGAAGCCAAATCACTTCCTTCTGGCTGTTTAGCTAGAAGGTAACTGAGCTGCTGTTGAATCTATGTCTGTCCTGTCTCCCAAAGCTGTCAGATCCAGAAAAGGTCTCCCGAGAGAATGTGTTCTGGGTCCTGACCGTAGACAGGTAAAATATTAGTGCTGTTTTTCAAAGGATCCAGAGAACTTGTGAGAAAAAGAGAGAGAGAGAGAAAGAGAGAGAGACGGAAGGTACTGAAGGTCTGGGAAGAAATTCCCATTATTGATTCTACCACCCGAACCCCAGATACAAAGGGTACCACCAGAGCACCAGAGCCTCAGATCTTTCTAGAAAGGATCCTAGACCACGCCAGTGGTCAAGGCCTTGGGAAGTCAGCTCATCCATCCCTCTCTTGTCTACTGTGAGTAATCTGAGGGGCAGTGTGGTGTCAGCCGCTGTCTCCCTAATGCCTGCGTCTTTCCTAAACAGCCCCAAGGGCCCAGAAACCTCCAGGCCGCTGTCCGCTGCAGGGCCCACAGCAGGACCTGATCCAACAGAGGGCCATCCAGTTCTCCACAGGGAGCGGGACCCTAGTGGCCACCACGTGGGTTGGGGCTCCGAGGAGGCTGCCTGCCGCAGGGCTTCCTGCCCTGGCTGCTGGTGAGGGCCCCCCTAGGGCAGAGCTCCGCTGAAGGTCATGATGGGCAGGCAGAGGAGGGAGCAGAGGTCGGGCGCCTCCTGGGCCGGCAGGTCAGGGGACCTCTGGGGTTGGGGGCGGAGGCTGCTCTTCTCTGGCTTGTAGCAGGGTGAGACCTCACACCTGTGGGGCAGGCAGGAGTGAGGGCAGGTCCCCCCAATCCTGCAGCTCCGTCCGGGGTTCTAGGGAGTGGCACAGAAGCGGGCCCCCTCCCTGGGCCCCCTTCCTACCGGACCACGCTCTGCAGGATCTTCCTCTCATCCTGGTCCAGGCACACGGCAAAGGGGCAGCCGTTGGAGCCGATGATCTGCACTTTGTCCACTTTGATCTGGGACGTGCTAATCTGGAAGCAAGGCCCTGTGGTCAGCCCCGATACCCGCCTCCCCCGCACCCCCTGGCCTCCACCCTCCCTGAGTCTGGAAGACACAAGTGCCCCCAGGAGAAGGCCCCGCGGTGAGGCTCTGGGTCCCCGACACCCAGGGTTCCCTCAAAAGCCATTGCACACAGATACATCCCCCCCGGGCCTGCCTTCCTCCCTGGAGGCCACTGCACCCCGCAGGTGTGCACCCCCACACCGCACCTCTGCTGCCTCCCCTCCCCACCCTGTACATGCACACGTGCCAGGGTCTCCCAAAGCCCTGGCTGCAGGGAGAGGGGCGTCCTTACCTGGTTGAAGCCCTTCTTGGACTTAGGGTTCTGTCTTTTCACCACTTCGGTCAGATTTAGCGTCAGAGCCTCGGTGCTGGAGTCTGAAGTGCCGGGGGGCTCAGCTTGGGGGCAGGGCCCCTCCCCGTGGGCACCTCCCCTGCACCCCACCACCCCTGATCGCCCCCTGTGCCCCTGTGCCCCTGCTCCCTCACCTACACCCCACCGCCCCTGCTCCCCCACCCTTCTGCGCTGCCCCCCTGTGCCCCACCCCAATGCCCACCTGCACCCCCCCCAGCTGCCCATCACTCACCTGCGCCCCCGCCCCTCCCCGCTCACCCTACCTGCGCCCCATTCCCCTATCGCCCACCCACGCCCTGCTCCCCTCAGCTCACCTAGCTCCTCCTGCTTCCGGCAGGCTTTGTTCAGGGTGATGGATGTGCACACCTTCTCCATGTTACTCCAGCGGCTTCGTCCACTGATGGCTCCCTGAAAATGCAGCTGAGCCAGACCCTCTCAGCCAGGGAGGGGGGCCCCAGACCCGCGGGCGGGCGGGCGGGCAACAGGGAGCTGCAGCAGGCAGCACTCCCCGGGGAAGCTCTCACCCATTCAGCAGCATCTGCTAGCTTCTGCTCCAAGAGCCCTCCAACCCCCAGACCCCCATAGGGACCTTGATGACTCCAGGGAGCATGTTAGGTCCCTGGCCTGGCCCACGGTTAGCAGGCCACAGGGGCACTGAGCCCTCTGCTGTGATTGTGGGCACCCCTCCCACCCTCGCCTCATAAACCCTCTTCTGCCCACTTCTGACATGGGTCCCACGTCCCAGGCACCCAGCCAGGCACAGCAGCCCAGCGGACCCTGGGCTCCCCCTCACTCTGCCTCTGGGAACCTCGCCCTTGTCCCGCTCACCCTCAGCCCTGCAGCCAGGCCCTCACTCCATGTGGGAGCTGCTGAGCACATCCAGGTGAGGGGGAGAGAACACTGGGGTTGGAGGGATGCTTTGGAGGTTGAGGGGGAAGAAGGATGTCCACTCCCTCCCCTCTGTCCAGGGGGCCTGCTACCATACATGGGGGGCCGACTCTGGGTGAGGAAGGGTCAGGAGCAGGCCCCTGATGGACACGCACCCCAGCGCCAGTCTCACCTTGCTGTAAATAATCTGTAGTGTTAGAGGGACGGCCTCGCGGTCCCCATCGATGCCCAAACGCTTGCTGCCAGGACCTGCACCACACAGACAGACCTTCACTCCCTGTCATTGCCGGCACCCCCTCCCGGACCCTAGGGCCTTGCCCCCCGGGCCCCGTCTCCCCTGGGCTCAGGCAGCGCGCACCCGAAGCCTTGATGGCACGTGTGGCAGCAGAGTGACCCAGCTCCAGGGAGTGGATGAAGATCTCTGTCATCTTCTCCCCGGTGATGAAAGTCAGCTGCAGAGGGCAAGAGCTGGCATCAGTGGGGGCTTCTGTAGCACGAGGCTGCTGGTCGCGGGGGTCCGGGGAGCGCTGCTGGAGGTGCTGCCCGAAGCAGGGGGGTGGGCTGGGGTGCGGTGGGGGTCCTCACCTCCGTCTGATAGACCTGCAGCAGCACTGGCCGGGCAGCGAAGCGGCAGTAGTAGAGCAGCATGTCCGCCAGGATGGGCAGCTGGGCAGAGGAGCCCTCCAGGGGCCGGGACTCAGCCTTCAGAGACTGCTGAGGGCGGGAGACAGAGCTGAGTCAGAGGGACAGGTGGCCAGCGAGCGAGCAAGGGAAACGATGTGAAGAGACACACACACACACACCCAGAGAAGAGGGAGACAAAGGCAGACACAGCCAGAGAAGGGGTGAAAGCAGGACACAGAATGGTCAGGGGAGGCCCTGTAGCCCAGTCTCCGCAGCGCCCTCACCTGACATCCGGCCCACTGGGGAGGGCCCTGGACGAGCTGGACAAAGCCAGGAGGTGAGGACAGGGAGGGGACTGAACACTCAGGACCGTCCTAATCACTGCCCTCAATTTGGACTCAGTCTTGCTTCTCACCCGCCCTCCCTGCTCCTTCATGGAGGCCTCAAGCTGGATCCCCCAAAACCAGGGTCTTCAGAGAATGCTCTGTGACTGCAGCCTGTGCCCCCCACCTCCCTGCCCTGCAGGGGCTGCTTACTTGGCACAGGACTTCAGGGGGCAGGTGCATGAGGCCTAGTACGTTGCGCTCATACCAGGGGTCGAGCATGCCGAGGTAGTGGGAGATATCATTGGTGCTCTCCAGCTCCTGGGCCAAGGGACAAGAGTCATTCTAGTCCCCAGGGCCCCGGACAGCATCTGCAGCCCCAACCACAGCTCCTCCCCACCCTGAGAGATGCCTGCCAACTTCTAGGTGGTGTCACGTGGCACACTGCCACCCCCAAGTACAGGGCAGGGGCTCTCCTGGGAGCGGGGCTCAAGCAGGGAAAGGCACCCCACAGACACAGACTGCTCTTGGCAACTTCTCACTGGCCCCCTTGGGGTGTCTGAACCCACTCCCACTACATTTGGTCCAGGGCTGGGGACATACCGCAGGGCTAGAGTGCTTTGGGGAGTCCGTGGGGAGCGGGGGCGCCTGGCTTGCAGGAGCAGGGCAGGTGCTGGAGCCAGTCCCATGGCTTCGCTTCATGGGTACGTAGAAAAATTGAAGCTTGAAGAACCGTGTGAGGAGTGGGCGATTGCTCTCCAGCCGCCTGGCAAGAAGAGGGCGAGGACAAGAGAGTGCTGTGGTCCCCGTCAGCAGCCCACAACCTGCCACCCAAGGCTGGGCGTCACCCCTCCCTGCCCCCCAGTCCGGCTCTTACCGCAGCTTGCTGTATGCCCGGGCCACCTTCCCCGAGATGCGATCAGAGCCGAAGACCACAACGCGCAGCGTGGATGCCTTGGGGTCCTCGTCCCCGCTCAGGAAGGGGCGGCGGCGCTGGTGGCGCGAGGCGGGGGCCAGGAGCCAGCTGGGCAGCTGGGCGCTGAGCTTGGGCTGGGGCAGCGAGCGGGAGCGCTGGGCCCGCGCGGGGGGCACTCCCAGGCCGTCCAGGGGGCTGCAGAGGCTCCCCGCCCGCCGCAGGGGCAGGGCTGTGTCCGCACCCCCCTCGGGGCCCCGGGAGTCCCTCCGCAGCACCAGCTGGCTGGTGCTCTTGAAGAGTTTATAGATCCTGTTGAACTTCTGCCCCGGCCTGCGGTGGCCCCAGCGCTCCTGGCTGCCAGGGCTCGCGGGCCACTCGGAGGAGCTCTCCTCGCTGTCCTCCATGTAGCCGCTGTCCACGCCATCCGACAGGCCCGAGACGAACGAGGTCAGCAGCTGGCGGGAGAGGGCGGGCCCTGAAGCCTGGGGTGAGCTGAGGGACAGGGTTGAGTCATGGAAGACCGCCGAGCCGGTGGAGAGCACCGAATCCCTCTGGGCACAGTGCCCATCCGTTTCCAAGTCCTCCTCCTCCTCTTCCTCCTCCTCCTCCTCCTGCTCATCGTCCCCCAGGATCCCTGGCTGGAGCAGCTCCTGTTCCTTGAGCAGGATTTCCTGCAGGATGTCTACAGGGAAGCAACGGGAGGCATAATCTGGATTTTTTTTTTTTTTTTAGATTTTATTTATTTATTCATGAGAGACACAAGGAGAGAGGCAGAGACATAGGCAGAGGGAGAAGCAGGCTCCCTGCGGGAAACTGGATATGGGACTTGATCCCAGGATCACACCCTGGGGTGAAGGCAGACACTCAACCACTGAGCCACCTAGGTGCCCCTGGGTGTCTGGGTCCTTGAAATCCCTCTTGCACACCCTCAGGACAGGCGACAGGCTCAGACAGATCAGCCCAGAGGAGGAGGAGAGGGTGGAAGGAGGGTGAAGTCTAGCCCAGGGCTTGAGCACTGCCCCCTGCTCTGCTTAGAGCTGCCCGGGGAGGGGGGGGTGGCTGCACAGACCCAGGACAGGGAGCTGCCCAGGGGGTGTGGGGTGGGTGCCACTAGGGACCCAGCCAGCTGCTTACCAAAGCTGTCCTGGTTCCAGCTGTAGGTGTGGCACCTGGCGACAGGGATGGGGATGGTGCGGAGCTGGCCAGGTTTGGCAGTGTCTGTACGAACACAGGGACAGGAGATGAGGGCTGGAAGGGTCTCATAGAAGAGACCAGCGCCAGGCACACCGTGGGCCAGCTGAGGCTGAGGGGGGAAGTGGCTGGCCCCCAGCTAGCGCTGTCTTTCCCTGTTCCCACAGGGGTGGCCACCTGATGGAGAGCCAACCCTGCCAGTGTAGGCTGGCTGAAACCGGCCCTCGGGGCTGGTGGGGCATGGGGATGAAGGGAGCCTGGGTCCCCCAAGGGCTGCATGGGGCAGAACTGCTGTTCTGCCTTAGATTGCTCACCTGGGGGCTGGAACAGACCCCGGTGAGGATGCACCCTGCTCTCCCAAGAGCCTTACCTAAGACACCGGGGAAGCCAGCTTTCTCTCCTACTGCCTGCAGCTTGGTCCTGAGCCACTGCCGGGCCTCGGCTGCGTCCCCAATGCCCGAGGCCAGCTCCTGAGCTTCTGCAGTCTCCGTGAAGATGTCCTCAAGCTCGGCCAGGCTCTTGGACTGAAAACCCAGGAGGAGACAGGCTTGCTCCCGAACCCTCGGGCTCCTAGGGTCCCCCCGATGGCCGCAGTGGCCCATCTCTCCCCCTGCCTAGTCACCCACATCCACCCAGAATGGGCCAGGGAGCCAGGCCTCCTCCTGGGGCCCCTCTTCTCAGGAAACAGTCACAAGAGAAAGGCCCAGAGCCAGAGCACTGCTGTGGTAAAGGGGGGTGGGGGTGCTTCAGAGCTCCCCACTACAGCCCAGAGAGGGGAGGACACTGCCCAGGGCCACACAGCTGACCAGTCACATAGCCGGGGCTACAAGTCAGGTCTTCCAGCTTCCCTCTAGAGCTCATTCCTAGGCTACCCTGCACCCGCCACTGCAGCACCAAGATGCAGCCAGAGAGGGACTCAGCTCTGTCTGAAGGGGGTGATGATGAGCCCCAGGGGCCCAAGCACATACCTGCAGCCTGCAGTGCAGCCCTGGCAGGTCACAGTGGGCCCCAAAGGTGGCCTGGAAGGCGTGCAAGAGCAGGGTGGTGTAGGCGCTATGGGGCGAGTGCCCAGGAGTGCTCAGCTTGTTGGCCACCGCGAGGAACTCGGCTTGGACCTCCACTGGATTCAGCAACAGCACGGTGCTGGGGACACAGAGGACAAGCTTTGGGGGTGTGGACAGTGCAGCCATACCCCTAACATCTGGCGCAGGGGCCACAGGGGGCGCAGGGGGCATGGGAATGCAGGGACCCCAGTCCCAAGTGCAAAGCCTATGGTCTCCTCATGAGTATTTTCCAGTCAGCATTTTCAAAGACTTTTTGAAACTGGAACTTCACTGTCACAAAATAAATTGCACCTTCAGTTTCCCATCAGCATATTTCCTACAGGACGTGGGAATGGACGAGAGATGAGCCATGAGGGATGCGTCCTGGGGGAGGTGGCTGGAAGTCAGGTGCTTGTTTCGTAGGGGCGGCTTGTTTCGCTTGCAGCCTGGCCCAGAGGTTTGGTGGGGGGGCAGGTCAGGGCTGCCTGTGAGCCCCAGGCTCCCAGGACACGCCTTTTCTGACCCTTGAAAGCCATCACCCTGGGTCACGCAGGGCCAAGTGTAGAGCGGGTGCCCAGCCCTATCTTCTCCCTGCCACCCTTTACGTTCTGTTTATCATGGAAAATTTCAGATGGACCCAGATGTTAAGAGAATCATGACCCCCCTCACACCCTGCAAGGTGTCGATGGCTCAGTTAACAGTTAACCACACACGACTGTTCTCACTTCGCCCACAGCAGCCCTCAGTTGCTATGTTTTCTCGAAGTGTGTTTGAGACATCACAACATCCCAGCGGTAGAGGCCTCGGGTGAGCTGCTTGAACAGCTCCTGCCCTGTCCCAGGTCCGGCAGAGAAGCACCCTGCAGGTGGCCTTCCCTTCAGCCCCTGCAGAAGGCTGCCCCAGGTCACCAGGTCACCAGGTCGGGGTGCAGGGAGTGGACGAAAGGGCCTGGGCCTGAGTCCCCACACTCTAGGAGGGCAATGAATGCTAATCTCTCCATGTGTCAGAGAAACGGGGGGGCCTGCACGGGGGTCCCTGCCCCAGCCGCTCTCCCTGCCTGGGTGCTTGCTCACAACCTCCACTGACACGTGAGGGGCTCCGCTGTGCAGCGGGATTCGACCAGCAGATGTGCGGCCTCACCTTGCACACTTTCTCTGCACCTGTGTTCCCACCTCCAGACGACCTGAGTGGGACCCTCTCCTCTGTTCCTGCTCCCTCTGCTCCCCCCTCTGTTCCTGCCCCCTCTGCTCACTCCTCTACTCCTGCCCTCTCTTCTTACTCCTCTGCTCCTGCCCCCTCTGCTCACCCTCTGTACCTCAGATCTGACAAATACCTTTCTCGTGGGGCTCCCGTGGAGCTTGAATGCTAGCTACCGTGATGCTTACAGCAATGCCCAGAGCTTGGTACATGCACAGGAACTGATTATTGGTGGGTCAGTGGTGATTAGTTGCCCCCCCCCACCCCTCTCAAAGAGTCGTCCTCACTCACTAACCTCAAGCATTTTTGTACCCTTTCTGCCTCTCTCAAAGTCTGCCACAGGCTTTTTTGTTGGATATGACATCGAAGGAATTTAACAATTGTTTGCTCTAAGTGTGAATTTGCAGTGAATCCCGTTGGGGGGCTGAGGATGGGGTGGGAGGGGGTGGGGAAGGGGGCAGCTGTAGCTTCTGAACTGTTGGAAACCAGGGTCTCTGGACCCCTAGTGTCCAGGTGAGGTGGCCCCATACACTTGGCAGGCTGGGACCCAGAAGTAGGTAACACAATTGATTTGGGTGATCACAACCAGCACTGCCTTTTAAATGAAATAGACTAGGATGGATGGAGCCCATCCTATGGGCATAGGGGTGAGTTTCAATTTCTAAAACTCATTTCAGGGGCACTTGGGAGGCTCAATGGTTGAGTGTCTGCCTTTGGCTTAGGTCATGATCCTGGGATCCAGTCCCACATCGGGCTCCTCGCAGGGAGCCTGCTCCTCCCTCTGCCTGTGTCTCTGCCTCTCAGTCTGTATCTCTCATGATTAAATAAATAAAATCTTTAAAAGAAAAACACTCATTTCAGTTCTGTGTGTGTGTATGTGTGTGTGTGTACAGCAGACTTTCATATAAAATGCTTTGTTTAGGAGCACCTGGCTGGCTTAGTCATGTGTGGAGCATGCCACTCTGGATTTCATGGTCATGAGTTCGAGATTACTTAAAAATAAAATAAAATAAAATAAATAAAATAAAATAAAATAAAATAAAATGCTTTTTTTTTCTTTCTTTTTTTTTTTTTACTGTAGGCCCCCATCAAAAAAAGTTTGGAAAAGGCAAAAAGACATCATAGAAACCTTGTGAGCCTTTGAGTAAAACTGGGCTTTAAATCCTGGCTCAGACACTTATTAGCTGTGTGACCTTCAGGAAGTTATTTGGCCTCTCTGACCTTCAGTCTCCACCACATGAAAAGTGGGGGTGAAGCAAGGTGACATATGCCCAGCATCTGGCATGATCCATGTGGGTGCTTTTTAATGTCTGCTCTGTTTTTTAGTCTCAGAGCCATTTAAAAATAGGAGGAAAGCCCCTCAACCCAGAGAAACAGCACTATGTACAAAAGCATTGTCAGCTAATCCAAGGGGCTCTTGGTCCTCTCGAAGACTATTTGTGGGTGGCTGGGGTGAGGGGTGTGTGTGTGTGTGTGTGTGTGTATGAGTGTGTACGTGTGTGTGTGCAGTGGAGGGGAAGCCAGATGCACAGCTGGGGAGGACAGTGTGGGCGTGGGGAACCCCCCCTCGAGAGTACTCACACGGTAGAGCTGCGGTGACTTCTGATGGGCAGGCCCTGCTCCGCCCTCACCAGTCGCTGGTAGGAGATTCCTGTTGTCAAAAGAAAGGAGAGTTGGTAGGTTTAATCTGTGCCTTCAGCAGATGGCCTGGGGCCTCGCTGTAGCCCCAGGATGAGGCTCAGGAGCTGGGAGGAGGCTCGGGTGCCGGAGGCTCCGCCCAGACCATGGCCAGCCTGCTGCCACCCAGTGGTTTCCTGGCCACCTCAAGAGGCACAGACCCCCCACCCCAACCAAGGGTGTGCGGGGGAGGGGGGGTCCCCCAGCTCAGTCTCCATGGGCCCTCCGTGCCTCTGCCCGGCCTCCCACAGACTCTTAGGGCAGCTGGGCCTCCCTGGTGCTGTGCCTCTCCAGACTGAGCCCTGCCTCTGCCCATGGGGCATCCTCGCCCAACCCTGCCCCAGCTTTTCTCTCCAGCCTCCAAGAAACCAAACCAGCCCAAAGTCTCTGCTTTTCTCCTGCAATGTGGCTCAGGTCTGCGACTGGAACACAGCCTCAACAGTACGGATTCAGCTGTGCGCCCACCGTGGTGTGACTAAACAACAGAGGACTAGCAGCGGGGGCTGGGTCTTGGGGGGCGGGGGCGGGCAGCCTCAAGGAGCTCCTGACAGGGGGCAAAGCCACCCAGGAGAGGGCGTGGGCTGCGAGCGGGAAGGCCACGACCCAGGTCAGAGAGGGCTGTAAAAGGAAAGGCCTTGACTTTTGTCTGGTCAATGGCAACAAATAAATAAAAAGACCAGCTTATACTGTTCTAATTTAGCGTCTAATTGCTTTGATTTGGGGGCTTTTTGTGTGATGTTTCTCTTATGTAATGTCCCATGCTTACAAGTTAATACTAATATCTGTTCCGGTAGGAAAGTCCCTGAAACTGTGAAAGGCTACGGGGACCTGGGACACCATCTGGTGGCCGCTGACATTCATGACAGAAGGAAGCTCCCCTCCTTGCCCCCTCCTGCGAGACCCCCCTCCCCCTGGTGAAATGCTATGCTGCAGACAGGGTCACCCCACCCCCACCCTGCACCCCCAGGCCCCCAGACCTCAGAACACAAAGACAAGCACAGGCCCCTCTTGACTCTTCTGCATACATTCCTTTTACTAGGTACGGAAGTCCAGAGGCCCTGCCCGGACCCGCAGGCCCCTGAGCAATGCCAGCCTTGTTCACCCAGGTCATCTTCTGCCCTTGTTTAAAGGTATGACCAGATGCAGTCACTCTGCGTGGACAGACAGTGTGTGGCAGTCAGCGCCTGTGCCAAGAAGCCCAGCCTTAAGTGTGCGGAAGTCCCAATGTGAGATGAGGCCGTGTTGCTTTTTCAGGGTCTGTGATTCACGTGGGCTCCCGGTGGACAGATGGAGAGCCTCATCTCCATCACACCTGGACACACACCCCTGGATTTCACATGCGGGGGGTTGCTGGGCGGTATGTCCCTGCCCCCATCTCTGGGGTCCTGGGTTCGGGAGGGACTGGGGATGTGGGCCACGTGACGTAGGCACAGCCTTCAGCGTGAGTGCGTGGAGGGAGGAAGGATGAAACAGAAGGCTGGGGTGGGTGTCAGGGGGCAGGGAGATGGGGAGATGGGAAGAGATGTGGCCGTGGCCTGGGCCTGGACAGGAGGCCGGAGGAAACCACTGCACAGAGGGCATTCAGTTCTGTGAATAATCAGGCTGATGGCAAACAGGGACACATGCTACTGGGTACAAGTACAGTGACCCTGTGGAAACACCTGGGAGATGACCCCCAGCTTTGCAGAGCCACGAGGGCGGGGGAAGTGAAGTGACACCTGCCACCCCAGCTCCTTCACAGCCCTGGCCACTGTCGCCCCGACAGGACCAGGCCCGCTCCTCCAGGCCACTATTCCTAGCGGGCAGAGACCTGTGAGCATCCACCCAGAGCCCATCCCCCTTCTTCACCAAAGGGACCCCTCGCACAGGATGATAGGTCATATTTCTCGGCCTCCCTTGCAGGGGTTGGGTGGGGCTTCTGAAGGACTCCTTTCTGCAACCCACTTTCCTCCTGTCTGTTAACAGGAGTGGCACCATGACGGCCAGAGCTCCTGCAGCCATTAGACCACAAAGTGGCATCGAGGACAATGTTTCCTGCTAAGGACAGTGAAGCAGAAAGAAGGGAGAAGGCTGGTCTGGAATGTTCATGCCAACCTTGGACTTCCTTCCAATGGAATTTTTTTTTAATGTAAGAAAAAAAAGCCCTATGGGTTTCCACCAGTTTATGCTGGGGTTTCTGTTATGTGCTGCCAGCATGCTCCTGAATCAGCCCCTGATTTCTGGAACAGCGGCTCCCCGCTCCTTTCCCGACTACATCTCCCCCTGCGGCACTGTGATACGAGAAATACACCTGTGGTCGTAATGTCATCTTTCAGTTCCAGGATCCCATCCAGGGTCCCACTCTGCATGGACTTATTTCTCCTTCGCCTCCTCTGCCTGTAACGCTTCCTCAGTCTGCCCTGGTCTCCTGTGATCCCGACACCAGAGTCCTGATGGGTTATGGCACAATGTCCCTTGATTTGGGGTGTTCCACATTGTGCCAGGAATGGAGTGAGGCAAGAATCTTCGACAAAGATACCAGAGAAGTGACGTTGTGTTGCTCCTCATCACTGTTTCTCAGTCATAAAAATCTCTTTCTTTGACGTTGTGCCATCAAATACGCAAATTTTTAAAACGTTCTCTGTATTTTTTTAAAAGACAGACCACTTTTGGTAAATTATAATGAAGACTGCAAAAGGCAGGGAGTGGATTTCAATTACAATGGTTTCCCCTGCCACCTGCATCCCTCACTTTGGGTTCTTCTCCCAGTGGGACTTGCGGATGGCATCTTAAATAGGGGGTAGTCTATGTAACTGAGCTCTTACCCCATGGGGTCTGCATGAACTCTGGGTAGTTGCTGTCTGGACTGAACCAGGTCTTGGGACCCTCAGTTGGTGCCTGGAAAGCTAGAGAACTGATTGTTGTTTGGGCTGCAGGGGCGAGGGGGTGGATCTATGCACTTGGTGTGAGAGCATTGAGTAAAAGCTTCTACTTGCTAGTCAGTGATGTTTGACTTTTCTTCGAGGGATATGCACATTTGATTCCATCAGAGGCCAAAAAAAACGAAAGTATGAAATGCAAATGTCTATGGTCAGTAATGTCCTAAAAGGAACTGAGGGCCACTAGAGAATATTCAGAATTCACCTGCCACCAGCTGATGGGCAAATGTAACCAAAGCCGGGCTTGCATCTGCTTTGACAGGTCCAAGGGCTAAAGGCACCAAGTGAAAGGAAGAGTGGCAGACAGACTGCCCAGGGCAGAGGGTGCTTACAAAATGCCAGTGGGGACAGCCCCAGGTTTTCCCGACAGGCACAACTGCCAGCCTATTGTCTCTTGGGGGAATAGCTCGGTACAAATGTGACAATACGTTTCTGGAGTCAAAGAATATGGCTCGTGGGGGCTCACACAGACGTCGGCTCAAGAGGGAGAGCTCTTGGCAGCTCTGTGAGCCTGGACAAGCTCACAGGTTCATTCTCTGGAGGATGGGAAGGAATATTACTGAGCACCCGGAGTGAGGGGTGTCCTGAGGACGGATGAGTCGTCAAGGCACGGTGAGCACACGGTAGATGCAAGCATCAGCCTTGGCATCCCCAACAGTGACAGTCCTGCTTGTGACAGGGAGGCTCGGAGAGCTTATGTAACCTGTCCAAGGTCGCTGGCTAGGAAGTGACAAGGCACAGGTCACACAAAGGCCTGTGTTCCCACCCGCTCACGCCCCATGGGCAAGACACATGACACCTGTCTGGGTCTCAGTTTTCTCGGGCGTGGAATGGGAAGACTAATGCCGTTCCCTCTGCTCCAGGGGTCTGAGGTCTGGGGAGAGGCAGTCAGTGTGTGCTTCAGCATCAGCACAGTGACTCCCGGGTGACACCCACTGTCACCCCTCGGGATTACGGGCACATTCTTTGCAGCCAAGTGTTGTGGTCTACACAGCCATGCGGGGGCTTGGAGTCAATACTCAACAAACATTTGGGTTGAACCCAAGAGGGCTGTGGTGGGCAGGAGCCAGTAGCACTGAAGTGACGTTTCCTGCCACCCCCGGACCAGAGGCAGTGGACCACCGTGTTGGGGTGGAGTCAGGAAGAAGGGGGGGGGGGCAAAGGCTTGATAACCTGCCCACTTCCTCTGCCACCCGGCCACATCAAAGGGGGGTAAACTGTTTCACTCATTGCCATGGCAACCGGCGCCCCAGGGCTCCATGGGTGGAAGGCCCAGCTCCCCAGGTCCCTTGTCATCCTCTCCCTGTGACCTTGTCAGGACCTGTCTCTTGGGCTACTGCTGCCCAATCCCAACCACTGCCCCCAGCAATGTGAAATCCTCAGCAGCTGGCCTTAACCTTCACATGGTCCCGAGAGGGAGGCATCATCATACTCCCATTTTACAGATGAGGAAAAAAAAAGAAAAGCTTCTTTGCCAAAGGCCCCACAGCTCTGGGATTTGAGACCACCACAGCCTCATATCAAGTACCAGTAACCATTAAGTGATTCAGCCTCAGTTTCTCCTCCAAGAGCTCATTCCATGGCCTCCATCCCAGCCTCTGCCCCACCCCTGCCTCCCTCAGCAGGAAGAACTGGGGACGGGGGTGGGGGCACTCAGCAATGAGGCAAAAATATTCCCACGGGCCGTAATAAAAGCGCACTGAGGCACCTTCTAGCAAGTCCACTTCAGGATCCCAGAAGGGGGTGATTTAGCTTCATTTACTAGTCGTCACTGATGAGCGCTCAGACTCTATGAACTGCGAGTGAACCCATGGATGTGAGATGACTGGAGGGATTTTTTGGGGTAGAAAAGTGTGCCCCATAGGTTATGGGGTTATCCCCCTCTCTGATATTAACTAACTTCCTGATTTTGCAATTTTACTCTGGCTTACCTGAGAAACTTCTATTGGGTTCTTACACCTGCCTTTAAAGCAGCTCTGCCACCTTGCTGGGTCCCTGATGGGCTCAGTGTCTCTGACAAAGGCTCACATGTTTGTACATATTAGTTTTTTTTTTTTTTTTACATATTAGTTTTTTAAAAAAATATTTAATATAGATATTTTAAATGGATTTATTCTGGAATTTGCTTTCTTCTTCTTTTTTTTAAAGATTATATTTATTCATTCATGAGAGACACAGAGAGAGAGAGAGAGAGGCAGAGACACAGGCAGAGGGAGAAGCAGGCTCCATGCAGGGAGCCCGACGTGGGACTCGATCCTGAGACTCCAGGATCATGCCCTGGGCCGAAGGCAGGAGCTAAACTGCTGAGCCACCCAGGGATCCCATATTAGGGTTTTTTTTGTTTTTTTTTTTTTAACCGTTTGAAAATGACTCTCTGGCCTGAGAAAGAGTCCAGGCTTTCCTATTTCGGTTCTGCTTTCCCTGGAAGAGGAGGAGTCCCTGGCAAGGCAGCCTGGCCGCCACCACCCTCTCCAGATGGGTGTTTGCCTTCTCCTCTGTCACCAGGACATCTGAGCTGTCACACAGTCCCTGGGCAATGTCAAGGGGAAGGTGGTCAGCATTTTGAGGGACTGGGCTTCCCAGGGGTCCTCTGCTCTGCATCTAAGAACCCTCATTCCCTCTCCAGTTCCCACTGCTGCTCTGCCTGGCTCTCACTGTCCACGCACATCTGCTCGCTGGGCTGCCCAGGACAGAGGCTCTGCTCAGCTGCCCCCTCAAAATATCTTGAGGCATCATGTGCATTCAGCGAAGAGCTGGCTGGTTCTACCGGGTGGTGGGAAGCGGTCTCCCTGCGTGCAGGGGACAGCCTCCCCCAGCTCTACATCTCTTGCACCCCTTTCAAAGTAAAAAAAAAAAAAAAAAAAAAAAAAAAAGTCACTTAGCACTTAGATCTTGGGATTATCCACTGAAGGCCCTGTCAACATATTTGCATTTTTAATCCTGTCTTCATTATAGAAGGAAAGAAAAATGTAGCCTTCTGGTTCAAGGAGTTCTGGTCACCAGCAAGAAGCCCAGAAGCAATCAACACGGAACTGTGGGGTTTGGGGGAGCAGCTGGAAGGAAGGGGATGGAAGAGATGAACCCTGAACTGGCTGGGTCACTTAGGGCGCCTTGCAAGTTAGATTGGCAAACTTTTTCTATCCGTCATGTGCCCGAGCACCTCTACCTGTCCAGCACTTCATCTTCCGGATTTCTAGATTTTTCCACTCAAGTCTCAACAGGAACAGGCGGGCTTCGGGGTGTGGCCAACCCTGCCCTGTACCTGCTCTGTGCCTCTGTAACCACAGACAGCTGATTGGCTGGGCAGCCAGGTAGGTCAGCTGATTGGTCGGGAGAAGACAAATCAATTGATTGGCTGGTTGGTGGGGGACAGCTCAGCTGATTGGCTAGGCAGACAAATCAGATAATTAGGAAGAAATTCTGAAACCCTGCAAAGGTATTTACACACAGAGCTTCAGTCCTGAGCTCTCAGGCCTAGGAATCGTTGAGGAATGAGATCTGGTTCTCCTGTCCTGGGTGGGTTTAAATGCTGTGGGCACGAGGCAGGGTTTGGTGCATGTATACACTTAAAAGAGAAAAAAACAAAAATGGGATTAAAATATACATAGTATTTGGGGGACCTGCTTTTTGACTCAGCAAGTTACTACTGGACGTCTTTTGCCCTCCGTAACTCTGTATCTACATCTTTAATGATTGGATAGCTATATAAAAGCTTTAAATTTGATGCTCTCAAATCTGTCCGCCTTTTCTTTTATAATTTTTGCCTGGGGGCGGAGTAGCTGGCTGTTTGGTATCTCCTCCACTCTAGGTGGTTCATGTAACCTACTTTTCTTTTATTACATTCATAGTCTTATTTCCCATACTTCAATCTTTAATCTATCTGAAATTTGTTTGAGATAGGGTTCTTAGTTTTTTTTTAAGACAAAACTATAACTCAGTTTGAATGGTCTGTCAATTGTCCTGATACCATTTATCAAATGATAAATTTTATTCATCACTGGTTTCAGGATGCCACTTCATCATATAACAGATCTTTATATATTTAGCCCATTTCTAGCCATTCTATGTTGTTCCATTAATTTATCTATTCTTATACCAACAGTGCACTATTTTAATACCTATAGCCTTATAGTTATACTTTATAGTTAACTATATAGTTAACTTTCAAAGACCTACTAAGGGAAATACCCCTTCTTCTGCTATAAGAATACATCAATAAAAACATGATAAATACAGAAGAAAATGCTACTGGAGAGCATTTGTTCTTTCAGATAGACTTTATCTATTTTGATAAATTTTAAAAGATATTGTTGGTATTTTTTTATCACAATTGCATTTATTTCTATAACACCTGCTGTTACTACAATATTGATTCAATCTAACAACATGTCTCTTAAGTAACTTATCCTTCAGTTAGGTTTATTTCTGTATGTAGGTAATTCACATCTCTTTTTCTTCTTTTATATTTTTAGTTGCGATTATAAATTGGGTTTCTTTCTCCCTCACTATATTCTCTTACTGGTTAATGCCATTAGCTACCTGTTTGTCAGTTCTGACAGTTCTTTGGGTGATTCTCTTAGTCTTGACAGATAAGCAATTGTTTGATTTCTGCATAATTAAAATGTTATCTTCTCTGGAAGAAGAAAAATTCTTTATTTTTGCCTTTTTGCATAGGCAAATTCCTATAAGCACAAAGAGGAAGGTTATTGATGTAAATGGAAACACTTCTAGCATTTCACTGTGGGCTGTTACTTCCTTAAGAACACTTCCATGTGTTAATAATAGTTTCCAAATATTGTAATATTAGGAATTAAATTTTTTTATTTTTTATTTATTTATGATAGTCACAGAGAGAGAGAGAGAGGCAGAGACACAGGCAGAGGGAGAAGCAGGCTCCATGCACCAGAAGCCCGATGTGGGATTCGATCCCGGATCTCCAGGATCGCGCCCCGGACCAAAGGCAGGCGCCAAACCGCTGCGCCACCCAGGGATCCCTAATATTAGGAATTAATGTTGAATTCTATCAAATGTTTTAGGGGCATCTATCAGGATGTTTACCTGACATTATTCCTTTGAGCTACTGACGCTGATGAATTAGTCTAGCAGACCATCTTGCACACAGTAAATCTTACCTTCTTAGATTTTTCTCTTGCCCTAAAACAGTTTCCTAGGACTTCATTTTCATGTCTATTAGAACACCAGCAGTTTTTCAAGAATTCCTACTTTGCAGACCCCTCACATGTGAAAACTTAGCACCAGGTGCTTGTCCACACCTACCATGGCACCCATCGACTATGGCACCCATCAACCTGTCCATTCCTAGTGCCAGCTACTTCTCTGGCCAGGACTAAAGCTATCCACACATGCATTTTCCTATTTGATCCTAAGGCAAAAAGAACCCAGAAAGGCCTTTTGTCACTATTGTGGGGGCTTCTCTCTCTGACCTGGGCAGTCTCAGAGACCTTTTGGCAAACCAGAGTACAGGCACAGACCATGTAGTGGGGTCTCCTTGCCTTGAACCCTGCTCAGCTTCCCCTAGGAATTCCTCCTTGAGTTGTGTCTTATGTTCACGCCTCTCAGCCATTTGATGCTGTGTGCACAATGAAGAGCCCATGCACCTGCCACCCCGACACTTACCTGGGGCCTTGAGTTCAGCATCAATGAAGGTGAGCAGCTCCTGGCAGATGCTGCAGTAAGGAACAGGCCAGGTCAGGAATCGGTGGTAGGTTCTGGCTGCTTTCAGAAGGAGATCTGAATCTGGTGGGAAGTGTGGCGTCTGGATGGAAAGGGAGCAGCAAGCAGAGAGGTCTGGGTATGAGACCTCATAGGTGAGAGAGAGCTCACTGGTATTCCAGAACAGACCCTGCTCCTTTCTGGAATATTCCACACAAGATACACTCCTCCGGGCAGCAGTATGTCTCAGAATGAGACCAGAAAGAACCAGAAGTTATCCCTAGGGAGTGAGTTATAGATGGGCAAGATGGCACCCAGGGGCACCTCTACTGCAGGGCCATGATTTCACCACACACAATACCCAATACATGAAAGCACCTCTCTGAAAAGCTTCCACCCTGGAGGTCATACTACATGGTGCCATTGCTGCCACTCATTTGGGGGAGTGGTCTTCAATGCCTACACAACCTGTATTTACTATCCTTGCTTGAGGCAAAGATCTGTGCTTCAAAGTGGATTGGCTCCCATGGTCCTTTGATGCCGCTGGTCTAGTGCTGCTCACACTGGGTGAACTATTAGGGTATAGAATGAGGTGGACCTCAAATCTCTCAGCAGGATCTGTGTCATGGCTCGTGCATGGGCTGTGGACAGCAGACCTTCCACAGGAGCCTGGATACACCAGGCATGATGGGATCTGCATGGGGTTCTAGAGGCCTCTCAGAGTGGCTGCTCTGAAGCCATCAGAGGGCTGATACCTGTTTCAGGGTCCTGGCTTGACAGCTTCCCTCCGTGTTGTCTCTGGAGGTGTGAGGCCACCCCTCCCTGTCCCTTCCCACTTCCCCCAGCTGGCCCACCCTGGAACTTACGCAGAGGACAGTGGAGTAGAAGAGCAGGGCCAGGGGGGCCAGAAGGTCATAAGTGCCCTTCTCTTGGACCTGTGGATGGGACAGGAGAGAAGAGGGTGAGGCTCAGCACAGGTGTAGAATAGAGCAGTGCTCTCTTGCTCTGTACTTTCTTTTCTTTCTTTCTTACATGAAAGGCAATATAACCACAAGGCAAAAATTTGGGAAATGCAAGTTTTAAAAAAAAGGCATCACAATATCCCCCCTCTAAATGCAACCCCAGCTAATATCGCAATGCTTCTCCTAACACCATTTTTCTCTATGTATTTTCCTCCGGGAAACTTGATTGTAGTATGTGTATTTTTACTCCTACTTTTTTTTTTTTTTTACCTATAATACTATAAATGAATTTCTGTTTCCTATATCACCTCTAAAAACACACGTTTCCCCTGTTCCTGGCTATGCATTTCCTTTTTATTTGTGTTGTAAATATTTTTTCAAATTTGTCTTTTTTTTTTGAAAATGACTTTTTTTTTATTTTTTTAATTTATTTATGATAGTCACACACACAGAGAGAGAGGCAGAGACATAGGCAGAGGGAGAAGCAGGCTCCATGCACCGGGAGCCCGACGTGGGATTCGATCCCAGGTCTCCAGGATCGCGCCCTGGGCCAAAGGCAGGCGCTAAACTGCTGCGCCACCCAGGGATCCTTTTTTTTTTTTTTTTTTTTTAAGATTTTGTTTATTTATTTGAAAGAGAGAGAAAGAGAACATGCGAACAGTGGGGAGAGGAAGAAGCAGGCTCCTTGCTGAGCAGGGACCCCGATGCAAGGCTCGATCCCAGGACCCCAGGATCATGACCTGACCGAAGGCAGATGCTTAACTGATTGAGCCACCCAGGCACCCCTGTTATGTGCTTTTTAATTTTATAGATTTTTCCCTTGATGTCCCAATATTAGAAGTGTTCGTTTTTTTCCTTCATGGATTTTTGCTTTGGCAAGTGAGCATCCTGTAAATATTCCTACATCTCTTTTCTTCTTTTCTCTGAAGCTTCATTTTCTTAAATGTAGATCTTTAATACACTTAGAATTCTTTTTTTTAAAAGATTTTATTTATTTATTCATAGACACACAGAGAGAGAGGCAGAGACACAGGCAGAGGGAGAGGGAGAAGCAGGCTCCATGCAGGGAGCCCAACGTGGGACTCGATCCCAGGTCTCCAGGACCACACCCCAGGCTGCAGGCGGCGCCAAACCGCTGCGCCACCAGGGCTGCCCTACACTTAGAATTCTATCTGCTGTATGGTATGCAGTAGGAAACTTACTCTGAATTTTTCCAAATGTTTAGTCAATTTTCACTAAACCATGTAATAAATCTTACTGATGCAATTTTGTTGTATATTTAAATTTGTTCATACCTTTGGATAATACCCATCTTTTTATTACCTGCATAATATTTCTTCTGATAGGTTGCCATAATTTATTAGCTTCACTTTGGACATTTGAGATTATCTTCTTGCTGTTTTAGATGCTTTTGCAATGCACATCACTTTGTACGTGTTGCTTTTTTCTATAACTGGGATTCTTTATCTTTAGAGTTCAAGAAGTGGGATCAATAGTTCAATGAGTATAAACACATTTCTAATCTTTAAAGCAAACTGCCAAGTTGCTTTCCAGAAGGACTGTGCCAATTTCAAAATGCCACAAATATGAAAGCACTGGTTTCACTCTATCCTTCCCTGCATTTCTTGTTATTTATTTATTTATTTATGCAAATTTGCTAGGCAAAAACTGTCTCATTATGGTTTTGATTTGCATTTGTTTTATTATAACCAAGGCAACATTTTTTCCATATTGGCTTACAAATTCTATTTGTTCCCTGATGCATCATCTCTTTGACACACCCACCACACTAGATACATACGTTTTTTTCAGAATTCTTTGGCCAAAATGCTACACGTTTCAGCCCATCCTGGAATTCATGGGGGCTGAAGATACAGAGAAATCCCCACCATCTGTGCTGTGCTCTGCAGGCTCAAATGGAGAATTCTCCTTCTCTTTACCCTGAACAGATCATGTGTCTGATACACCTGCTGCTCAGGTCTCTTCTACAAACCCTCCCCTATTGTTACGCGGTAGTTGATATTTGCATTTATGAGTTAAACACTCCAGAGGCAGTTTAGCTCTTCTGAGTTGGTCTGCTTGTGATCGGGTTATAACAGTACCCAGTAAACGGTGGTGAGCATCTTGATAAACCAAGACTTTCCAGGGACAGCTGAGAAAGTCACATGTTTTCCAACTCATCATGTATTTTTTAAAAAGGAAAAAAATAAAAACCACTTAAGAAGAGAATTCTTTACAAAAGACCCAGCATCCTTTTTAGGGACTCACAGGTGTTCTGGAATCCCAGCCCAGCTGAGCCTTAGACACACCCTTCTTTTTAGAAGGTCATAAAAGTCTATTTCTTATGGACCTGCCATTAGACAGGGTCTCAGTTTACCTTTCTAATCCATTTTCTCTTCTGTGTCGATTTTTATGGGTCTTTTTAAGAAAAGGAATATGGGAGAGAGCTTCCTCCCTCCTCTCTAATCAATACCTAGACTTACAAGCCATGTCTGTCTCAAGAAATGGCTTAAATGGGGCATCGGGGTGGCTCAGTTTGTTGAGCATCTGACTCTTGATTTTGGCTCAGGTCATGATCTCAGGGTCATGAGATCGAGCCTGGCATCGGGCTCTGTGCTGGGTGTGGAACCTGCTTAAGATTCTCTCCCTCTGTCTCTCTCTCTCTCCATCCCTCCCCCTGCTTGTGTTTGCACTCTCTCTAAAAAAATTTAAAAAAAAATTTTTAAAGGCAGCTTAAACTCAGAACCCTAGCTCAGGAATCTCACGAATCCTCGTCTTGTTATTGAAAGGACCGCAAGCCCTCCCTAGAAACCTTCAATCCACAAACACCACTAGTACAGAAAACTCAAGGGGGGGGTCCCAGTGCCTTTACTAAGCTCCACGCTGGGGCGGGCACCCCAGAACTGATGCTCCGCGGGGACCTTTCCCCTTGACTCCTCAAGCCCTGGCCGGCCCTCACCTCTCGGGTTTTCTGCAGGATCTGCTCCAGGAGGATGAGGAAGTGGCCTGGGTCCCTGCTGACCAGCTCCTGCAGGCTCCAGCAATTGAGACACAGGCCAGCTGGAAAGGCAGAGGACAGGTGAGCGTTCAGTGTAGGTCTGGGGCAGGGGGTGGGAGTCCCCGGGGCTACACAGGGGCCCTCTTTTCCAAGGTAGGAGTCTGAGAACACTCTAGATCAGCCATCAACACTGTCATGCCTCATCAAGACAAGTTTCTGATTCCTGCAGAGAGTGGGCTCAAGAGATATAGAGACGGGCCCGATCCCCTTTCAAGGCCATGGGTCTTCCACAACCGCCTCTTGCCCTGACTTCCTACGGGGGGTGCCGGAACCTGCTTGGTGCCTGAAGGAGGGCAGGGGCAGAGAGTGCTGGAGAACAAGCATAGAAGCCACAGCAAGCTCTGCCCCAGGAAACAAGCCCAGGTGTCTGCCTGCCTGTGGGACTTTCCAGGACTGCCTGGCTGGGGAGCGCAGGCAGGGGGAAGCCACATCCGTCTGTCTTCTGGAAGCCAGAGTGGGTTACTTTGTCCTTCTAGAACTTTCCCAGACTTTTTCACTTTGTTGGTCTCAATTTCCCCGCAGCCAGTAAGGGGAAGCCCTTAGAAACTAGCGGGGTGGTCATGGAGGCCTGTGTGTGCATGCGTGTGTGTGTGTGTTTGCACACGCACACATGTGAGTAGTGCACGTGAGAGCATTTAGGGTGGAAGTGAACTGGCCAGGAGTTTCGTGTGGACACAGGTTTTTGTAAAACCGGCCAAAGTCAGATATTTTTGTCTTCTCTTACATACCGATGGCCACCCCCCAATTCTACATGCTTAGGCTCTGTCAAAACCCAGGCAGGAAGCAAACTACCATTGACCGACCACCCACTGTGTGCCAGTAAGGTGCTAGGTGCTCACACACACTCCCCTGAGTCTCCCAACCAGTGCCTCCTGCTGTCACTACTCTGTCGCTACTCTACTCTTGACTTTACAAGGCAGGTAGGGTCCTGAGAGGTTAAATGACTTGCATGAGGTGGCAGCAGCCAGTGAGAGATGGTTTTAATCCAGATCTGTTCAATCCCAAAAAGCAAGGAAAGCCTCTTGGAGGAGGGGACACGTGGGCTGAGACTTGCATGAGAAGGAGCCAGCTATGTGCCCCTTCTGAGGGAAGAATTGCAGGCAGCAAGTGCAAAGGTCCTGCGGTAGGAAGGCACCACGTATGTTCAAGGAGCCGTGGCTAGCTATCTTCTAGGCTACTTAGGGAGGCGAATGAGATATGGGATGTGAAACGTCTTATAAGCCTGAGAAATTATTACAAGTAGGCACCAGTCTTCAGAGAGACAATCGCCCCAGCCCTGCAGATGAGCCTGTTTCTCAGTCCCAGGGAACACATCACACGGAAACCTCCTGCTCCCTGAAGCTCGGTTGAGATTCCCCGCTGTCCTACAGGGGAAAATAGGGGATGCAGCTCTGGAAGGAACTAAAAACCAGGTAAACAGAATTCTGGGGAGAGCTATCTACGGGTTCCTAGCTGTTCTTCTGGAATCAGCCATTGTAGGGTTTCTATGATGGATCGATACCTTCTCTTAGGAGTTGTGCTTCTGGGAAAGAGAGAGAGACTCAGCCATGAGGAGGAGGAAGAAGTCAGGGGACAAGAGACAAAGGACCCCACGCCGAGGGCCCACCCACCCGCCAGCAGGCGCTGTGCCCGTGGGGGGCCTGCCTGGGTGGGGTCTTGCACAGTCACGTACTCGGGGGATGGAACCCAAAGCTGCCAGCCCCTGGCCATTGTTGGGTGCCCTGTGCCCCAGCCCTGCTCCCCGCTCCCCCAGACCTACCGGACCAGGAGGTGGAGCAGCGGCTGAGGCTGAGCCCATGCAGGCAGCGCTCCAGTGCATGCTGGATGCGGTCCTCCGTGCACGTCGTGGCCCCTGGCTGCATCCTGAGTCATCGCCTGCAGGTGGGGGGTGCAGGGGATAGACGCCGGTCAGCCTGGACAGCCCTGGGCTCGGGGAGCAGCTGGTGTCGCGGAGCACACGGCCCCAGTGCAGTCAGCCCTGTAGTCGCGGAGGCTGCCAGGTGACGGGGTCCCCGCGAGGGCCCGGCAGTAGGCAGACGGCAGCAGGCAGCAGGGCTCTGTGGGAAAACTCAGCATCACCAGGAGAGGGAGGATTTTTCTGAAGCCCCAGGCCCAGGGATGGGTAGGGAGAAGGCTGCACCAGGTTGGCCGGGTGCTCCAGGCCTTCACACAGCCCCCATGCCCACCCCACCTCGCCCTCGGCTTGGGTGCCCAGGCCTCAGGCACCTGCTCCTTCTCTGCCCTCCCCTCCACTCTTGCCACCCGTCTTCCTTTTCCTCAAGGGCTGGCAGTGCCCCTAGGCATCAAAGGCCTTGTGTGTTCTGCTCCCCCCTTGTCCTACCAAGGAGGGACCTGGAGGGCCGCGGGGAAGGGGCATTAGGAAAAGCTGTGGCACCAGCTGGGGAGCCAGGAGAGGTGCTGCGCTCTGAGAGCCGCCACCAGGCCAGCCCAGCTTCTTAGCTCCGTTTGGGGGCTCCCGGGGCACATGGTTCAGCACTGTGGACGAACCTGGCTTCTGCCGGCAACAGACTCGGACTCGGAGTGTGACTCCGATCGTGGTGAGCTGTGTGACTTCCAGCAAGTGTTCTTTTCCGAGCCTCAGTCTACTCCTCTGGGAAATGGGGATAACACAGTACTGACCCCAGAGGGCTGTTGGGGAGAATGCCAGAGCGGCTGTGTGCCCCGTGCGCTCCCAAGGCGCGAAAGCCAGCCCACTCCAGGCCCCGGGGACACTCACCCACTCCCCACTCCCGCGTCTGCCCCCGCCCTGGGCAGGCCCTGCCACTGGCCCTGTCACGCCAGGTCCTGGAGGGATGCCAAGGAAGCAACGGTCCAGCTCTGTGGAACTGGGGACAGGCCCGGAAACCAGAAGCAGAAGCATGGAGCCCTGGGCTGAGCCATGCAAACGACATGCAAAACTGGGACATCCTAGCATCGCCCCAGCGGCATGACTGGAAGCCTGGGCTCCCGGAGGCCCCACGTAGGCAAATCCTCCTACTTCTCCAGCCTGAGAGGGACTGCGAGCCCTTTGTAAGCTGTCCAGCATCACCCCGCTTCAGTGATGTCCCCCGTGGGCCACGCTCCTTGGTGTCAGAGGCTTCTGGGCCCATGCCCTGCCTGGACGTGCCAGTGTGCAGCATGGACACGCATCCTGGGAATGGACCCTCATGATAAGGTCTCGGCTGCCTGCCTTCGGCGGCAGCCCCCAAATGAGACCCTCCCCAGCTTAGCCTATCCAGACTCGGAGCTATAAGCACCTGCTGGAAGAGCCAAGAGATCAGGCTCCTTCAAAAAGATGAATTTGGGGCATGGACGGTTGGTCCAGATGGCATCAAGGGGCCCCCTCTGCCCCACAGGCTGATTTCTCCGTGTTAGCCCCAGCGTGGGTTCCTGGAGGGAGCTCAGAGGTTAGCCCCCCACCCCTTCAAGTGCTTCATTTCCCAGAAGGGGCAACTGAGACCCCGAGATGGTAAGGGGCAGCCCAGGGGTGGGCATCCCACTGGGAGAGCCCACACAGCTGTAACCAGACAACAGTATCAAGCAGGACAACATCTGTGTTCCCAAATTGCAGCCAAGGCCCAACTCTGAGGACAGAAGGTGCTAATCCACCTGCTAATGTTCTAAGAGTCATGGTGGGCTGGCAGGGGTGGGGGCCTCGCTGGCAGGTGTCCATCCCCACTCAGCCAGCTGCCCACCCTCCCCCACTGAGACGAGAAGACTGGGGAAGAGATGAGAGCTTGTCAAGCATTCCAGAGGGCTCTCCCTTCTCTCCCAAAGCCAAGGGGGGGTGCTTTAAGAGAGTCCCCTATTCAGACCCGATGCCTGCCAGCTGGGGGGGATGCTGCCATTTTGGGGTCACAATACTCTCCACAACCAGCACACTTGCTCCTGTGCTAACCGGGAGCCATGGTAGGATTGAGAGCAAGAGCAGAGTGGGCAACGGCATGCAGGCCCAGTGCCGGGGGAGGACATATGAACTCCTTGTGCGGAAAGGGAGGAGTGGGAATTAGCCACATAAGCCCGACTACAGCTGTTTGGTTGACACTTGACCCTGGAGGGGTCATCCTAGCGGGGTGAGGGATCATCAGCAGAAAGAGGCTGATGGGTGGGTCACCTCTGGGAGAAACTGGATGGAGGGGGACAGGGTAATCTGTGGCAGAGAGGAGTTCCCCTCCACCTGAGGTCACACAGCGAAGAAGTGGCAAAGCCAGGACCAAACCCAGGGAGTCTGGTCTTAACCAGACACAGTCAGATGCCAGTTACCAGGACAACACCACCAGTTGGTGTTTTCACCCCTAAGACCGCAGACTCAATAAACTGTAACATGATCTTGCTTCAAGAGACCTACCTTCCCAGTTGCTATGACCTTGAGCCCACCATGCCTGTCTACACCAGCTGCCTGCCCTCCAGAGAGGGGATCAGGACCCACAGAGGCTCTCTAGTGGCTGAACTGGGCAGTCTTTAGCCTGGGCAAGGGCTGAGCCACACCAACTGGGTTGAAAGTCCCCTCCACCCAGCCCCTGCTGCAAGGGACAACTGGGTTGTGTCACAGGGCAGGAATGAGTCATCCGCCCTATTGCGTCCCACTGTAAACACAAGATGCAAATGAACATTTCAGCCAACACTACTTCTGTTGTACCCCCTATTCTTAGGGGGTCAACACACGGCATCCTGGGGCAGCTATGAGCAGGCTTCGCAGCACCCCTCCCACACCTGGTGGCCCATACTCCTCTCCTCCTCCAGGCCTCTAAGCCTCCCATCTCTTGGCTTCAGTGTCCCTGGCTATTCATTGAAGACCATCAGGGCCTTCTCCATGGATGGGCCAGAGGCACTGGGCACTGGGCAAGGCTCCTGCTGTGCCAGCCCCCCTGGCATCCTGACACCATCTGAGTTGGCCCCAAGCAGGACCTGCCCAAGGCACTGGGCCTTGGGAACCAAAGGGAGGTGGGAGCCCAGTCCAGATCCTCAGCTAACCTGCCCTGGGGTTAGCCCTGCACACCGTGGTTCACCACCTGGACCTCTGGCATTTCTGTGGGATGAGTCAGTCATCAGCCGATTCTTGTGACTTGTCAGAACCCCCAGTGGCTTTGGGGTGGAGATGAAGGGGGAAGAAGGTGGCACTCCCTCCCTCCCCAAGGATGATTTCAGAAAGACTTGGCAGGCGAGGCCTGGCTGCCCGGGGCCACCTTGCTGAGAGGAGCATCTGTTGTGAAATTCCAGCTGCTGCCCGGAATGGGAATGCCCCTCCCTCATGGTGGGGTCGTGTTGAAATATTGGACAGCTGGGCTTTGCCGCCACCTCCAAGTTCCTCTTCCTGAGCCAGTAAGGGTGAGTCCTTACTGGGGACCCTGAGCACAGCAGGGAGAACTGCAGTTGAGGGGGGCGGTGACCCCAGAGGGCACAAAGGGAGACCTCCTCTTCACATGCTGACCTGAGCCCATGATGCAAAACAAGGTCATCTTCCCAAAGGTACAGAACTAGTCAAAGGTCAGCCTGGATCCAGCTTCCTTGGGGCAGCCCCCCAGGGGGACAGGGACTGGGGGCTTCTCAAACCTTGTGGAATGGCAGAGGTAGTGGGCCTACGGTCTACATGTCACAGGAGGAGAAGCGTGTACCTCCAGACTCTGGCAGGCGCCCGCACAGCTTCCCTGATGTTCTGGAATATTCTAGGCCCATGCTTTGAAGCCTCAGCTCCACAGGTGGGAAAAAGAGAGGCTGACCCTCATCACCACCAGCTTTGGCCCTGTGTCACTCCTCCCTCTGCCCCTTCCTACCGTCCCCTGTGGTTTGACTTCCCATCCCTGGCCCACTCTCCTCCATGAGACTCTTCCAAGGCAGAACCTCTACTACGACCTAATTTTAAAATTTCTCACCATCAAAGCAGGAAAGATACACCTGAAACCAAAGATACTGAGGTAAAAAAGGGATGAGAAGGAGGGGGGAATGAGATGGGGGTGATGAGGACGGGCAACACTCCTTTGGGGCTAATTTTATGTATCCCTTTAACACTCAGAACCATAGCAAGATTTTACATACCCCAAGTATGTAACTCAAGTCACACCATAACTTAAATCAACTAGGATTTAAGGTGCGGGGGGTGTGTTGTGTGTGTGACAAAAATACAAACAAATTCACCCAATGAGTCACATAACCATATTTAAAGGGATGGGAAGTGAAAGAATTAAGCAGAGGAACTTTGGAAAATAGTATTTTGACTGGATAACGTACGGCTAAAGACAAAAAGAACTATATGCAAACACTATTTTTTAATTATTAAATCTGTTTGTCATAGGGATCCAGAGACTTGTGTGCTTGCTACAACTAAGCAAATAAGTAAATATATCACAGATAATGAGAGCCAGCTTCTCACTGTTGGAAAAAGACATTATAAATAAGGAATGGGGGAAATCTAGAATGAACCGCCTTGTTGGACTGGCATTGGAGAAATCAGCATGAACTTGTGGTTTTTAATGTATTTACATAGAGATACACACAAAACTGAAAAAGTTGTGTGTATGCTTGCATTAAAATGTATATATATTTTTTCTAGCTAGGCCCGGAGAGCCAGGAAATGACATCCCAGTAGCAATGAGCACACCTAGTGCCAGGTCTTCATTTCTAAGGACCATTTTCCACTCATAGGAACCAGGGCTCCTCACAGAAATGGTTGATTCCAGGACCGGGGCTGGAAATATATAAAATGAGCCTGGAACATCTTATAGTGCCAGAAAATAAGTCATTCCTTGAAAAGGGACAAGGGTGTCAGAAGGATATGGGAGCCAGCTTGAAGGAGCTCCCAATGGCCAAAGCCAGGACAATTTTAATAACAAAATAAATCATGAAAGTGTTGGATTATAATTTGTAGGATGAAATAAATACCCATGAGTTTATACTAATGTTATAAATGGAAGGAAAAAACAAACGGAGGAGAAGGAACAGATCTTCTTTACGAAAGAATAGCAGTTAATAAAGGTGGATAGAATGAGAGAAATACAAAATCACCATGAGGCCAAAATACCACAGTAATAGCTGTCCTCAGGATGGATGTTAAAATCTG